AGTTTGACTTTTTCTAATAATGAGTAGGCGAGGATAGGATTCAGCTCAGCTCTGCTACCCCTCAATCGTATTGTCTGAAGGCTCAAAAACAAGTAATAACCACTTGGGTGAGCTACCAGGGTTGTCCGGTAGAAGGAAAGAGACTCTAATCCTTCAGGTAAAAATGGAGGGGGAATTGGTAAAGAATAATGTTTATTTTATGATGTTATGTAAATGAAAAACATATGCCCCGACATCATGGATGAATAATACCATGGTTCGTTTGGAAACATCTCATTGATACCTATAGTGAAAATATTTTTGAGACAGATTTTAAAAGAACTGCAACAGATGTAACAAATCTCACCGTCAAATTCATAAAACTAACAGTAAATCTTCCACATGTCTAATAAGTTCCAATTCCTTCAAGATAACATAAGCATGTGATAATGCAGTTTGGTGTGAACCTCTCCCTGAAGGGAAATGCACTGTTACTTTAAGGCAATACCAGAATTGATTTATTCACACTGCTTGCAACAGCATGTCTGTACAATTTAAATATGTAGCAAGCGGCTCCGGACTAAGTCCTTTCACTGCACCAGGCTTACTCTGTTGGTGAAGATCTTATGCTTTGGAATAGAAGCAATTTATCTCCCTTTAACACAGAACCTATCCACACTTCACATTTCAAAATCAAGCTTTACAACCTTGCCAATACGAGTTGTAGATAAGATGCAGACAATGGGATACAGTTTTGCCTTTCCCTTGTTCTTTTTTTAATCCATTATCCTTTTATTTTGTCACTTTCCTTATCTCGGGTGGCCTCCATTGTCAATTTTGTAAAGGAGATGTCACTGTGATGTGAAAATTTTGTATATACTATATTACAATATATTCATGTCATTGCAGTACTACCAATAGATTCACCCTTCACCAACAGAAAGAGTACTGCAACAGCAACAGTCTGCGCTTGGGCTTATTTTAGGTAATTTACAGGGTCATTTTTAGGAATGCAAAAAAACCCTGTGAAAAAGCACTGCTCTTTCATAATTCACTCGTTGCACAGCATTTTGTGCTAAATATGTGGGCAAATGAATTGAAAAAGTACGTAGCTTCTAAACATCCAAATTTTACTGAACTATTTATTTCTGTTGAGGATGAGGGAAAATGATGAAGTTACGCCATATCCATTGGTGAAGAGATGCATTTGTTGAAATGTCTCAAAGCACTTCAGTTTTCTGTAAAGTGTATTTTGTCGGCAAACGTGACAGCCAAATGTCCCACATCAATGTCCCACAAACAGTCATGAAGTGAATGACTAGTTTTAACTGGGGAATTGTGGGCGAGGACACTGGGAGAAACTCACTCTCTTTTCAAATCATGCCAAGGAATCTTCAACATCCACATGAACAGGCAACGAAAGGACGTTCATTTAATGTCTCAGCCGAAGGATGGCGCCTCTGACAATGCGGTATTCTTTAAGCACTGCATCAGAGTGTTAAACTAGTTTTGAGCTCATCGTCCCTCAGTGAAGCTTGAACCAAAACCTTCTGACTCAGAAACAGCAACTGAGCCAAGCTGAGTGCTTTGCGGATGTCATTTTATACATTTGCAATGGTGGCAGTGAAACTATACATTTTTCAAAGACACAAACTTAAGACAATCACAGAAAGAATTAAAGAGGAAAGATATATTAGAGATACTTAAGAGTTCCTTACATTTTGGGCTGTGAGATTGTGACCTTTTCAGCTATATCCTTTTAAAGGGAATTAGAATAATGCTTGAAATGGAGGAAAGTTTTTTTCATATAAGTATTTATAGTTGCCCTGAGTGATTTCACATTCTAGGGAGCTTCACTCCAAAGGAATAAAATGCCCACTTACATACCATTCACATCAGTGCTATATTTGCAATGGCTCCATTAAAGCTTACACCAGCCACCCGGGTGGAAAGCGTCTGCTGCTGCACAGGCACTGCTTTGATAAGAATAGTGAGTTCTTTAACATATGTTGACACTGATGAGATGGTATTTCAGACATTTCTGGCACAATAACATTGTTGATAATGTACTGAGACAAAAGGATTGAATCTTTACAGTCATTCAAAGCATATTCATATTACAACAACAACAAAATTACGTTTATAGAGCGCCTTTCACATCGGGAGGACGTCCCAAAGCGCTGAACAGTCAGATGTCAGGGCCTAAGCATGGGGGAGGGGTGGGGTAGGGGTGAGGGAAGGCAGAGGTGGGAGGGAGACCAAAGGCACGGTTGAAGAGAAGGGTCTTGAGACTGGCCTTGAAGGAGCCAAGGGAAGAAGTGAGGTGAAGGGACCGTGGGATGGAATTCCAAAGTGTGGGGGCAGAGAGGCTGAAAGCCCGGCCACCGATGGTAGGGCAGGTCGAGCGGGAGACATGGAGCAGGCCGGCATCCGATGAATGGAGGGAGCGGGCAGGTTGGTAGGGAGTCAGCAAGTCAGAGAGGTAGGAGGGGGCAAGGCCATGGATGGCCTTAAAGGTGAGGACGAGGATCTTGAACTCGATCCTCTGGGGGATGGGGAGCCAGTGGAGTCGGGCGAGGGTGGGGGTGATGGGGTCACGGAGCCTGGTGCGTGAGAGTACACGAGCTGCAGAGTTTTAGATGATCTGCAGCTTGTGAAGGGAAGAGTTGGGAAGGACGATGAGAAGGGAGTTTCCATAATCGAGCCTTGATGTGACAAATGCATCGGTGAGGGTTTCGGCAGCCTGAGGGGTGAGGCAGCGGCGGAGTCTGGCAATGTTGCGGAGATGGTGGTAGGCAGTGCTGGTTATGGCGCGGATGTGGGGGAGAAAGGACAGTTCAGGGTCAAACAAGACACGCACGTTCCTGACTGGCTTAGTGAGGTTGAGTGTGCAGCCGTGGAGGCTGATGCTGCCAGTGCCTGAGGTGTGGAGGCGCTGGCACGAGCCAATCAGGAGGGCCTCGGTCAAAGTACTACAGTTGCTGGAAATCTGATATAAAAACAGAAGTCACTGGGATCATGCAGCAGGTCAGGCAACATCCATGGAGAGAGGAAAATTAGTTAATGTTTCAGGTCAATGACCTTTTGTCAGAACTGATGAAAGGTCATTGTTCTGATGAAAAGTCATTGACATGAAACGTTAACTAAATTTCCTCTCTCCATGGATGCTGCCTGTTCCCAGTGACTTCTGGGTTCATATTACAGAACCACTTCTATTTGGTCTAGGATACCACTGTTGTGGAACAACAACAACAAAATTACATTCGTAAAGCGCCTTTCACATTGAGAGGTCATCCCAAGGCGCTGAATGTACCTCAGTCAGATTTTCTTTGGTCATGCAGATGTCTGACGCATGCGGAAACCCATTAAGAGTATCCAAATTAGACAAGAGTTCCATGCATGGCACCTACACCTGGAAATTCATGTGTCCCCAAAGGACATTTGGGAAACTTGCCTAATTCCAGAAGCATTAGGTTGGCAAGAGCCAAGGACTCCAAAGTATGCATTGAGGTTCTGATGGAGTTCAGCCAGCTAAAATTGCATATCTTGCCATTGAAATTACTTTGATAGTATGATAGTGAGGTGGATTCCAAAATATAAACGACAATGGATAAACAGCTCCTTTATGGGGCTTTGAAGATGCAGTTGCTGCCTTGTTTCTCCTTTTCATGTTAATCCACTCAGCCCTCTGTAAACTGATGAAAGAGTACAACTGATGAAAGAGTACAAATTGGAACCTAGCCGGACCGGACCCCAAATAAATATATATTATTTAAATTTTGCAGCCTATGCATAGATTCCCGTCGCCTCAACTTTCCAAATGCCACCAACACTGCATTGTATGGCCTCACCATCCTTACCGGCCTTCCCAGTGCGCAGGAAATCATCTTTGACTCAGATTGTTTCAATTCTATGAGCAGAAAATAGCTTATTTGCACATAAAAAAATGCAGTGTTGAAAAATATCAGTAAATGTCAGTACTGGTATTGTATTTACACTTAGCCAGAAATTCCGGTTCACCAGACTGGATCTCAACCCCCTATTCAACCAGCTGGCTGGGGTTTAGCTGTATAACCTGTGAAGAGCTTTTGGATATCTTCCTAACTTGAAAAGCGCTGTAAAAATGCAAGGATTATTATTATTACTTGTGTGAACACCAATGAAAAGGTCTGAAAATAGGTATCAGACTGGCTCAATTGGTAGAACTTTAGCCTTTGAATGAATAGGTTGTGGGTTCAAGCTCCATGTTGGGTCTTTGAATTCCAGTCCAGGTTGAAGCTCCAGTGCAGTGCTGGGAATGTTGCATTATCATAGGTGCCTTCCTTCGAATGAGACATCTGCCTGTTCAGGTAGACATTAAAAATCCCATGGCAGTACTTCAAAAGTGAAAGAAACTACTTTCTCTTGGTGTCCTGGCCAACAATCTTCCAGATCAAATTGGTCAATCATTTCATGACTCTTCGAGGGACATCACTGTGCGCAAATTTACTGGCATGCTTGCCTACACAGTCACTACACTTCACAGTAAATCCTAAGACATCCTTAGAGATGGTTCCATCACATGGTAAGGCACTTATATCAAATGGAATAAGTGTTATATTATTGAGCAGTTTTTTGTGGTATCATTCCCCTTTAAAGGAATCCAATTTAGAAATAATAATGGGCACCAGGCTGCTGAAAAAAATATTTCAATGTGAAGTTGCAGAGTCCTTTCCTTCACACAAAGTCCACACCAGTTAGCCAATTTTAATTTATTGTCCGATAAGAGAGTGTTCTTTTAAAACCTGATCATCGTGAACAGTGTAGGAATCAGCCTTCTTTTTAAGGCACCTACATTGCAGACAGGGCTAGCATTTTAATCATTTGTGGTACTTCCTTTGACAAAATAATTTGGCTATTAGCTTAACCCTACCCTGAATGAAAGAACACAATGATAATTGTGTGACATCATTTACTCTCACATTGATGCACCTAAAAAAAAACTGCACTATCATCTAAGGTAAAGCTAGCCGTTAACTCACAGTTATGACAAGTGGCTCCAGAGTATCCAGTTCTCTCGCAGTTGCATTTAAAGCTGTCCCAGGTCTGGGTGCATCTCCCTCCATGCTCACAGTGATTTGGCAAACACCTGTTGGGGTAAAATGTAGGCGAGTTTTAAAAGTACATTTCGGCATGAAGATACATAGCCAGAATCATTGGAAGTCAATCTCAATTCATTAGGAGTACATCAGTTAATGTTCTCAAAGCAATTAATCCCTGCTGCAAACCAGATTTAGGTTAAATATCAATTTAGTGAAAAATTGGATATTTAATGAAATAGCTAATGACAAAATAAATAAAACTGGAAATAGGGAACCAAACAAATTTGACAATCTGGTGTGTCAGCTTTGCTCAGCAGTAGTACTCTCGTCTCTGGGACACAGGTTGTGGATTCAAGCCCCATGTCGGGACTTCAACTGACACTAGTCTAAACTGACACTGTAATGCAGTGCTGGGGATGAGGTACCATTCTATGAATGAATCGTTAAACCGAGATCCGTCTGTCTGTTCAGGTGGATGTTAAAGATCCCATGGCATTAAGCAAAAAGAGAGGGGAGTTTCTCCTGGTGTTCTGGGCAACAATCCCTAAATAAAATTGGTCACTCACTCCATATCTGTTCATGGAACATTGCTGTGTGCAATTCAGCTACTGCATTCGCTGACAAATACACAGTAAAATCCTTCACATAAAATCCTGTGATGCGCTCGACGTGAAAAGGTGCTATACCATATGCAAATTATTATTATGTAAAATCTTTGCAGAAGAATATAATTCATGAATAGATTGGTAGATTATAATTAATGCTACATTTCTACAAGCAAGAGGCTAGAATAAAAAACACACACACAAAAGGTTATGTTGGAACAAACTGTCCCTTGGGGTGAAGGTAAGTGGGCCTCTTTGGGGATGAATTGGCTCCAAGGTCACATAGAATATCAGGATCAAGTTGGTCTTCTGTCGTGATCTTGGTAATTGTTAGTCTGGTTCTTGAATCAGGTGGGTCTGCGGGACTACAAGGCATTTTGAAGGCATAGTGAAAATGGACCATCCAGTCTGGCTCATCAGCAGGATTTGGAGAAACAGACCAGTCACTGGGGCAGAGATTTTTCCCGCTCAGTTCCTGTTAACCCTGCAAGCCCAAGCTCTAATGGGTGGTCCTAAATTGACAAGTAGCGGGAAACATACCCGTAGGTTAAAATTATTATTAGTAGTAGTAGAACCCATACTAAGGTCCCCAAGCTTGGTGCTATATCAAAATGCAATACTTGTCATTATTTATTATTATTCTCATTAGAATTATTATTAGTATTACAGAAAAAGACCTTCTTCTCAGGGATCAGCCTGATGAATCGTGAGTCCTGTAGCTCAGTGGTTAGAGCACTCGCTTTGCAAGTGAGAGTCCTGAGTTCAATTCCAGGCAGGGCGAAACCTTGGGCAAGTTTCCTTACTCCACACGCCTAATAATAATCCCTCCAAAAACAATAATAAATTGGTCATTTTCAATCTACGACTGTTTGTGGGACATTGCTGTGCGCAATTGGCTACCGCGTTCGCCCACAAATATACAGTCAATTCACTTTACAGTGTGTTCTGTGAAGCGCTTTGGGACGTCCGCCCGACGTGAAAAGCGCTATATCAAATGCAAGGATTATTATTATTATTATTTGCTTTCCTTTAAGGTCAGTGTATTGTTCCTAAGGTACTGTTCCCAGGACTGACCACAACACTCCAAATGGCATCTGCCCACAATACCGTAAATGGGATTAAATACTCAACTCTTCGTATAATTACAGAACTTCCTTGTACTGCATATTCTCCACCGTTTCTGATTAAATTCCAGTGTCCTATTAATCCTTTTGATTGCTTTCTAAATTCCACACTAGTTTTAATGACTTATGTACCTTATAATGCAAGTGACTGTTGAAGCCAAATTAATTATGTCATTGAAAAAGGAATTACCTAGAAGAGTAAAGATATAAAGGGAATGGTGAATGAACAGGAAAATAGCAGTAGACTAGATAACTCCAGTGGTGAGCCAAAATTTCACCCACAACATATACAATCACTTTATAGTATATTCTGTGAAGCACTTTAAAATGTCTCAATGTTGTGATAAGGCACTATATAAAATGCAAGGATTATTATTTTTATTATTATTAAAATAGCAGAGACAATGGGCCAAAATGACCTATGCTGTAATTCTGTGATTGTATTTTTGGTATTCCTATGCATTGCAAAGAAAGATTTTACCACATATTATTCAACTTAAAGAGTTTTGGGTGTCAGTGTAGTGGTGAATGCAATAGCTAAATATTGGCAATTAATAATAATAAATAATAATGATCCTTGCATTCAATATAGTCCCTCATCACATCATCCAAATGTCTCAAAGGATTTCACTGTAAAGTGTAGCGACTGTATTTTTGTAGATGAACATGGCAGTCCTACAACAACCATGAAGTGAACGATCAATTTTATCTAAGGGATTGTTGATCAGAAGACCAGGATGTATAGCACTCCTCCAGCACTCCCCAATACCAGATATTTAATTCATCACAGTAACAAAGTGAATGGAGCAATCCGGGACACAACCCTGTGTCAACGGCGCTATATAAATGCAAGTTGTTGTTGTTGTTGTCCTTCAGACTTAGATTCTTTCTGTAAATTACAGTTAAAAATTATTGAAAATTATTAATCTATGTTTTACTGATTATTTCTCCCTAATATTAGGCAGCATTCTCTCATCCCCTGCATGGTCTTTGCCTTTGGCATTTTGAGCAAAAGTCAGAAATGGAGAAAAATGCTGGTAAATTGTTCCATTATTTATTTTGGTGCATGTTGTATTAATATCTAATAGAATTTAGAAAATAAATATGAAAATCGAAAGTTAAGACAGTTTTATGGATATGAGTTAACTTTACCTAAACAGTTTAACACAGGAAAGTCTACCATTTAGATTTGTTTATGTTCAGAAGGAGTTGTAAATGGATTTGAAAATAGGTTTAGTCACAATGAAATGCAATCAATACAGCATGTCTTTAAAGTAGCTTTCGTTCAATAATATTTCACAATATTTGTGGCAGAAAGTTTATTAAACATGAAAATAAATTTTATTTCCTTTCAGTGCTATCAGGGTAAGGGGAGAAGGATGAGAGAGAAATTGCAACCAGCAGGAAATAATAATAATCCTTGCATTTGATATAGCGCTTTTCACTTCTTCCAGACGTCTCAAAACGCTTCACAGAATATGATGTAAAGTGAATTGACTGTATATTTGTGGGGAAACATGGCAGCCAATTGTGCACAGCAGTGTTCCACAAACAGTCGTTGATTGAATTGACTTTTTTTTATTATTGTTTTTTTTCTTGAAGGATTATTATCAGGCGTGTGAAGTAAGTAAATTTGCCCAAGGTTTCGACCTGCCGGGAATCGAACCCCGTTCTCTCACTTGTGACCTGAGTGCTCTAACCACTGAGCTACAGGACTCTGTGGTTGTCGGAGAATGAAGTTGAAATAACATCAACATGAGGTGCCCGTGAGAAAACATTAAAAGGCTTGATGATTTGAAGCCGTTTCTATTCAGTCGCGTGTTTTCATGCTGTGCATTTAAATTACTGACACTTGTTCACATGTTAAGCCTTGATCTGAGAAAAGTGTCTCTTTCCCTTTAGCTGTGCTCTCGAATTATTCCAGAACAAACGCTTCTGTTTGTTCCTGTTCTACGCGAGGTCCCACACAGGAGTTCTCTGCAATCCAAAGTAGGCTGCTAGGATCAGACAACTGGCTACAAAGCCGATGCATCTGTCCGACAAGACTTTAAATGACCATCCAGACTGTTTTAATCAATGGGGCTGTCCTTCCGACTGCATTCAACATCACAGCTATTATAGTTTCTGAAGATATTTACTGCATTATTCAGGATTGATTGGAGAAAAATACACACGTTTACACTTTAATTATAGGGGACAAATGGATTCATTTTCAAAGGATTTTCATATGCTGATAATTTGCAATCAACTGTTTGCTTGGCATTTGTAAACAATTACAACTGTGCACCTGGCTTTAATTTGGAAATCTGAGCAATCTGTACCGTTGGCTCACCAAGCACTTAAAAACAAATATAACTAGTATGTCCTTTGGGTGTGCATAATTTATATTCGATAAACAATCCATATTAAATTTCTTTTAATGTGATTTTAATCTTGTATTTACAATCAGTCATGGACAATCTTGCATTTGTAAGAGATATGAGTGAGAGCTGGAATGTAGGATTAATGAATAAAAATGAAATTTAGCAAAACAGATATTTTATTGTCGAGGCTGAAGTTCCAATGCAGTGCTGTAGTGTGTTATATTGTCGGAGGTGCCTTCCTTCAGATAAGGTGTTAAACTACCTGTTAAGGTAGACATTAAAGATCTGATGGCACTATTCAAAAACAAAAGGTAATTTCTCCTGGTGTCCTGCCCAACAATCCTCCAGGTAAGATGTGTCAATCACATCATGGCTGCTGGTGGGACTTTCTTGTGTGCAAATTGTCTGCCATGTTCGACTACAAATATAATACACTTTACAGCAAATGTTGGGAAGCACTTTGTCTGGACAACATGATAAAGTGATATATCAAATCCAAGGATTATTATTTTAATTCTAGTCCAAATCAGCAACCTGTAGTTCCTTGGTAACATTAAAAGTACAAAGTAATCCTAGCAAATACATTAACTTCAAACTTTTGTTTTTAAATTGATTTTAAGGTTTAAAAATGAACACTTAAAGCACACGTTACTCCACTAAATGATCAATACGTTTGATTCAATTTATCTGAATATTACATTTCAAGAGAGTTAAGTACAAGAGAGTTAATTTACAAGAGTTAAGTTAGGTTCACTATAGAAATACAATAGAAAGGAAGTTATTTAAAAGGCATTACAGAAACAGTCTATAAAAGCAGTTTTTGTAGTGTGTCCTTTCAGGTTTCACTAATAATAATCTTTGCATTTGAAATAATAATAATAATTCTTGCATATGATATGGCGCTTTTCAGGTCTTCTAGACATCTCAAAGCACTTCACAGAGTATACTGTAAAGT